AGATGCTTGTCAAGTTCAACAAAGCGGAAGCTAAAGGTGCGAATACTTCATTGATTACTCATTTTTTACTTTCAACAGTACAATATACTACGTATGCGATTGAGAAAGTCTTGATGTCTTTTATTTCCTATGAGAGTGCGATGGATAGTCTCATTTATTTGATGGTTTGCACACAACCATATATAACATTTGCCAAATTTTGCATTTGTTATAAGTAAGATGAGTAAATACATGTCAAAATTCATGCAAGGTGCATTGGATAGAAGTAAAGTGAATACTTAGATAACTTAAGCATTTTACAGGACATGAATTATTGTTTGATGCCAAAGCAATGAACGCCAAATCACTTTTAGTATATGTGGATGTTGATTATGAAGAATACTTGAACAAGAGTAAATCAAAGTCAAGAAATGCTTTCACTTCTACAAGTGGCTGCATTAGTTAGAGATATACTCTTCAAAAGTGTGAGTCTTTGTCATCTATGGAAGCTGAATATGTTGTAAAAGTAGAGTCAACAAAGGAATCAATTTGATTGAACAAGCTTATCATTGAAATGAGATTGATGAAATCTTCGTTGTGATAGTCACAGTGCAGTTCAACTTTTTGAAGATAAGATTATGGATAATGAGATGAAGCACATTGAAATCAGGTTCCATTTTTATCACACAAGTTGAATCTTAAAATGCGCTTAAGCTGATCAAGATTAATAGAGAGCTTAATCTGGCTGATGACTTTACCAAAGTAATTTCTTTTGATAAGTTTTCAAGACACCATGCAACTTAGCACATTTGCATTCGTGAGTTAGATTACATAAAAACCACTATCATATTATATATATATATATATATATATATATATGTTTTTGACATGTTGTCAATTACAGCTTAGTTCTAGCTAAACCTCGTTCATGGAGGAAAAGCTATGATTTAGTTTTACAATCTAGAACTTTTTTTTGAAATCATATACATATAGTGAAAATTGAATCCTTCAAAACTGGGATTAAGGAGGAGTTGTAAAATTAATCCGTGTCTTGTTAAACATGATTAGTGTAACTATAGTTAAACTTGGATCTAGTTAAAGTTTGGATTTGTTTGAACTAGTTAGAATTCGGGTTTTTGTTTGTTTGGATTTGTTAGATTTTGTTTGTTTGAATTTGTTGGTCACGTTACTTTGCCCTAAGATGAGTATTTTTTGTTTTAATTTCACATGTACACGTGATTGAGAGAAAGATAGTAGAGAGCTTGGCTATGGAGTCATGATGTAATATTCTTTCTTTAGTGAAGTTTCTATGGACGAAGCCTTATGTGGAGATGAAGCCTTGTGTGGAGGTGAACCACATACATTGATGTGTGAATATCGGTGCATTGGATCTACACATTGATATAAGCCTACAATTTTATTTTCTAACTCATTAGTTTGGAGTTGTTGATGCACTTATTATCAATCTTGGCAAAACAAAATCCAGAAAAAAAAATATTTCTTTGGCTTTGGGCTGAGTGACGAGTCAAGGCTACAAACTAAGGCCAAGTAGGTCTTTGCTCGCCTAGAGAATCATCCTAGCAAGAGGAAGGAAGATGAGGGATGCTAAGAGTACTTCCATCTCGGCCCATCCTGTTTTTTGAGAAGGAACACACTTGGGCCTGAAGCTGTGATTGATTTCTAACAGACGGATGTATTGTCCGACTAGGTAGCCGAACATTTGAGAAAGAAATTTCAATTGTTGAGAGAGAAAATAAAAGTGTGTGTACTGGCCGAACACTTGGGCATCAGCTCAAAACGAGCATCTTCTACTTCTGGCAAGACCAATCAAGTAGCTGATCACTTCTTCACCAAATGCTGATCTATCTAGTGCTAGTCGAACACTTGAGAGAGAGAGAGAGGTTTCCTTGGATATTTGGGTCTAGAGCGAAGCTTCACGTCTTCAAACCGCCACCTATAGTCACAGACGGTGGCGAATGACAAGACGATAGGACGGTACCTCCCCCACATTATAGCCACCAACTATATAGTTACAATATCTTTGTTTGGAACATGGGTGACAATGGGCTGCATGGGAGTACTATTGGGTAAAATGATATGTGTTGGATCCCCGGATTTGTTTTGTGTTAAGTAGGGTCCCATCAAGTACTTTTCTTGCTGTTTTAGCTTGTACAATTCGGGGGAATGAGAATCAACCAAATTTTGTCGCGTATATATTGTAAACTTTTTCAGGGTCATATTGTCCAATAATTATGTGAAAGTCTTCGAAAAATGTCTGGATATCTCTTGTTGAGTTCTCTTAACTCTCGGTGAAGGCATCATATGCAATCCACGCTGCCCTCTAAAGTGACTTACCTATTACCAAGTTGCCTTAAAAGCTGATTTCGGACTTGAAATCGGGAAGAATACTTTCACTTTGGCAAGGGATGGCGAGCACACGAGGCATGTTGTCAATCCATCAGAAGATGTCATCAAGTTTCGAAAATTGCCTAGCTGAAGGCTTAATGTCTTCTCATTACCTTTTTCATTGAAGAGGGCAAATCATTTTGGGCTCGCCTACCACTCTCCCAATCCTTCCGTATGGCGCCTTCACTATCGTCGTTGTACTCCCGCGCCAGTGCCCTCTTTCTGGGAGGAGTCGTTTTGGCTGTCTTCGAATTTCGCGGCGTTCAAATTCATTTTGACGCTTTCCATTTGATTCCTTCCATATCGTCTCGACACTCAAACTATTTGGGGAATGGCCGATCTAACGTGCGTACGTTGGATTGGCCACCGGCGTATGCACCTACCGGCTAATAGGGCACAACCTCCGCACGTTCAAGTTGTGTACCTCAGCGAAATGTTACTTAGCGTTCAGTGTGAACTCACAAGGAATACAAGTAAACAAGCAACTTCACAAGATCTTGAACGTTCTTGCGTAAATTAGATCATGCCAATATTTTGATTCTACGGGAAAACAGGTCGGCAAGTTTTTGAATTCAATGTATGTCACACAAGAGTCCCAAATCGACTATCTCTACGTCGTTTGAAACACCAACCTCTATCGAGTCGGGTGTATGAAGTGATCGATGAAGAGCTCGAACGTTTAATGAGTTTCCAAAAATCCATAAAGGAGAACAGTTACACTGTCCACATGACAGCTTCAAATTGTGTGCAGATAGTAGTAAGAAAGACCTTGTAGAATCCAAAAGCAACTCGAGTAAAATTGGTGATCTATTTAACTCGTGTAACGAAATGATAGTACCACTTTCTTCATGGTACATTTTCTTCGCCCTACAGAGGACCGGAACAACAGACAAAGATGCTCCTTGAGTTGCGGCTGGAGCCTGTGTGAGAGGATAAAGCGTCAATACAACTAAATGCGGGGATACCAGCGGACACCCTGTCTCGACGGAGGGTTGTTAACGTCGCAGACGAGGGACCACACGTTTCATCAGTACTCTGTTTCCCACCTGTTACTAAGGACAAGCACTGGAGTTGAAGATTTGAAAGTGGATTCGGCGACAGAGTGCGCTCTGAGCTGTCTCCAGAAAATAGTATGTGCAGAGCTCGACAAGTGAAGGGCAAAACAAAGCCCCGCATAGTGAAATTATTGAGAGGTTAGGACTCGATAGAACCTTTCCCCTCTCTTAGACCCAAAGCCCCAGAATTCATTCCCAAACTTAGCAATTTCGCCAAAGTATGGTATTATTGATGCAGCTGGTCACTTCTCAAACCGGTTCAAAGCTTTATTGCCTGCCCCAGTCCTTTCTCCCTCGTGCACAAAGAATGCATTTGTTGCAGCTGAGCCTTGGAAGCTGCGATGAAGGCAAACAAGTGATGCTACATGTACATGATGATTCATATAATGCTCAACTAACCTAGATTGAGCATTACGGTGGAGTACAATTCATGCTGGGATCGCTGAGTGTCACTGAAAGCAAACAAATGTGTACTGAATATACTTGTCTACCAAATGTGTACTGAAAATACTTGTCTACCAACACCGTGGTAACGGTCCCGTTTTAACAAACACTTGTAGGCCCAGCACTGATAGCTTGACTCCATGTTACAGAATCGAGGCTCTGCACGATTCTACATCTCGTAGAGACTGTACTAAACAGACTCCGCCCTTCGCGTTGAGCATACCTGCCATGGCTGTGCACAAACGGCGATAACCTAGCGAATACAGACCTGAGAGCAGAAGCAAAGAATAAAAGAGTACGAGCTGCATTGACGTAACTCACCAGTATGATGCACATCTGACCCGTATCCACCGAGATTGACAATTCATTTTAACTATGAACGTTCAAGGAACAAAGGCTAGCAGTAAGTAGAAACCGATTTCCTGAGGTCACCAACTTCGTAGAAAACCCATCAGTACCAGCGGGTATTATGTCATTGATGAACTTTTCGCGTCAAACACGCAGTTCAGAAATTGACTTGTGTACATCTTTTCCACCTTGAAAACCATGAATGGTACGAGAATTATGGTAACAAGTAATGTTTCCAATCCAGATAAAAATATTAATCCTACGAAGAGTAGAATCAAAACCACAGTTCAGCAATCAAACCGCTGTGAACTTCGAAGTAAACTATCGGAACAAGAGGAGACAACCTACTCGTTCGAATTCGAATGAATTTGCTTCTCGCTTGTGAGAAGCAAGAAGCGAGCGACAAACGAGAAGCAAATCCATTGAGACCTCGCTGCGTTAGAGAACTGAAATCAGTTCAAGCTCTTTAAACTGAATCAATGGCGATACTGTATCAATCAAGTTCCAGCCTTAAAGCGTGAATAGCGTAAAAAAGGGACTGCAGAAAGTTTGAACAAGGTCAGTATCCAGACCCCGTAAATAATTATTTGCAGTTCTACCAAGAGACAATCTTGTCCAAGAATATACCCGAGTCGACATCGAAGATACAAAAAGTCAAATAGGGCACGATTTGAGGAAATTAGACTGTACTGCGAAATCATTAACAAGTTTATAACGAAAGTTTACTGGCAGTTCGGCAACTATCTAAATCTACTGGACCGGCAGTGCTAAAAATCACATTACAATGCCGAAAATTCATCAATAATTCGAACGTGGGAGACACACGCACAAATGACACAGGGACATGAGCTCGTTTCTCAGAAGAACACAATTTTGTCTCATTGGTCGAGGCTCCGACAGGTACAACGCTGAAATTGTAAATTGTATACGGTTTTGAAAAAAATGCTGAGGGTTGGCGCCTTGGCGCCTAGGAGCAGACTAAGTCTACAAGTGACTGAGACAAGAGGAGGAAAAGTACAGTATTGACTGCTCATTTGCAGGTCCGAAACGTCTCAGGCCTACAATCTGCAATACAAGTAATGAAGAGCTATCCATGGGAATATCGTCGGACTCGAATGTGCAATGGCTCCTAGCGCAGTAAAACACAGTAGCAGATTACTGGGCAGTAGCTGACAACCTTTCCATATCTTTTTAGCACATTAAAATGCTGCATGCTACGAGCAAAATTGCTTTACAGTAAAACCGATAGATTCGTACACTTTCTCAAAAATCGGTAGCAGCAGCATTGTTGTATTGAGCCCGCCGGATATTGTCCTGCCTTCTTTTGTAGACGTAAGCCCCGGCTGCACCCGCAGCAGCAAAAAGAATCACTCCGATCGCTATACCGGCCTTAGTACCTCCACTCATACCATCGTCTCCAGCACCCTCATCTTGCTCTTTCTCCTCCTCACCGCTTTCATCCGACGGGGAGGGAGGGAATAGAGGTGGGACAGCCGGTGCAGGAGGAGAAGGAGCAGGAGCTGATTCAGGGGCTGGCGAAGGAGAGGGTGGAGAAGCATCTGAAGGGGAAGGAGAAGGAGCAGACTCAGGGGATTCCGATGGGGAGGGTGAATTTGGAGAAGGTGTGGGAGAAGAAGATGGGCTGGGAGGTGGAGTGGGACCTTCGGCAGGGCCAGGCACCGGGGTTGGAGTTGGAGACATGGGAGGGGCAGGGGGAGAGTTCGGTCCTGGTGCAGCTCCTGGTTCTGGTGCTGGTGAAGGAGACCCAGGAGATGGAGCGTTGAGATCAGGGGAAGGAGCAGGGGCTGACTCTGGAACTGGACCAGCGACACCTTGAGCTACAATGCAAGAAGGCTGCACCATAATCAAAATGGCAAAAAATGCGACCGGGATCGCCATCCGTGTACTCTGCCATCGCTGAGCCATCCTCACATGCAGCCTTGAGACAGCCGTGTGTCCTACAGAGAGACAGAGCCTTCAGATCACAGTCGAAAGATCCAGACCCAAAGCAGTTGCTGCGATGAGCTAGCGGTCGACTACCTCCTCAATGCCAACGGAGGGAGTCGATTCCACCACCCGCTCAGGGTGAGATCCTCGAAGTATAAGCCTTCTCAAAAGCACGATGCTCACAAAAGACTCAAGGACAAAGTCACAACATTCTCACCTTGCCTTCGTCTTTCACGCGGCGCTCCCGACTCCAGTTCACTCTGTACAGAAAGGCGCCTCTCTTGCCAGAAAAAATGGCCAACACGCTGAAATGCCGCAATTCACGACCAACGACCGAGTCAGACGCGATCAAATTTAAAACGGCTCTCGCAGCTCCAGCTCCGGGACTTCCGAGCAAACGAGGATGGGCAGCAACTGGAACTGGCTTGACGAAGCTCAGCAATCGGCCGAGTCCTGGGAGAGTCACTGAGCTGCTCCAAGATCCAGGTCACTTCCGCCTCCCTTTTCTCTTTTCCTCCGGCCCCTGCTCCACTGCGGTCCGATTCGGAACGGATCCGCCGAACTACCGATCCTCGAATCGGAAATCCGGGCAATGCAGCAGCTGCTGCCGCTGCCTCAGAAGGGGAGGAGAGAGCTGGATGGCGTCGAGGCAAAGGCACAAGAAGAGAACGTCCCAGCTCCAGGCGGGGCACGATGACAATCAATCCCGAAACCCAACGTGTGTATGGCAGCGGCCTCGGGAAATAGCGACGCAAAGGAGGCGGGAGTCGCCCTGCCCGTCGTCTGCGGTTGGGTTCCTTCCCTCGATCGTGAAAGCCGCTAAACCTGGCTACCGCCTCCCCCGGTTCTTCTCTCGGCTGGCAGACCCCGCCAATTATACACGACCCATGGCCGGTGACGCACAACAGGCTCCGCAGCGGGTTAGCGATTCAAACGAGCGGACTGCCTGTCGTGTGATACGCTCCAGATTCAAGAAGATTCCGCAGACTCCGAATTAGACCATCGCGGCTCGACTTCAAATAACTTATGCCCCGCCTTCCGATTCATCATCCTGCGGCTTTGCGCACTTTCCTGATTGGCCCTTGCGCTGTGGGTGGCGTGATCGCCCGCTCATTTCAGTCCGACGAAATCCGACGGCTGTCTTCCGGACCGAAAGCTCGCCCCTCGACTCGGCGTTGACGTACCGATGTTAGCGAACTCTGTCACGCCTACATCCGGGGCCTCCCTTTGGCCTCTCTCCTTGGGGCGACAAATCATCCGAATAACTGAAAGTGGAGCTGGGCAACGCCGTTCGGTTCTCACCTTTGTTTCGTCGACCTTTCACCGCATGCAGTGGAAAGTGCATGGAGACGAACATATCTGCGACACCGGCATTAACCTTTACCAGTTTGTGTGTACTCAGTAAAGAGGTAATATAATTTCGAGAGGCCCTCAGAGCTGTGTATTACTCTCGCCAACGAAAATACTCGTCGGTGGGAAATGATTAAGCCTAATTAGCTTCTTCTTCTGTTGCATGAAGGGAATGACTTCGGAAGGTTCATGCGGGTAAAAAACGGTGAGAGGAACGTTAAAGGCATCAACAAGGAAATTCCAACAAACACGAATTTACTTTACAAGTAAAGTAAACTATGATAAATACATCATGTAGAACATGGATACATACATGTTACAAATGATGTATTTATCACAGTTTACTATACAATTAGGGAATGCAACTTAAATTTCCAGATTATAAATTCTTGTTCGCTGGACTTTCCTTGTTTCTTGTACAGGACTGTTCTTGTGTAAGGCGTCTCGCTTAGTTTCCTCACACGACGTTTTCTCTGTGTACGCCCTGCATCAGCCCGGGAGTCATGCGAGTCACCGATCTAGCGTCACGAAAGTCCCGGTTCGTTGTCTGCCCTGTAAAGGTATTTGATCTGTAGCAAATATGAATAGAATGTCGGACGGACGTGTCCTATTGAGTGAAATTCGATTGCACTACCAGTCGTGCCACTAAGTCGTTCAAGTAACTTGACGTATTCACAGCAGCCCGGTCTTGTGATATATTGTGGGTCACCACGTAGATGTAGTAGGTTATGTTTAAGGCTAGGTAGAGGATTCGATGTTTGAATACTCCATCCTTAGAGTCATGGAAATCTATTTCTACATAATAATAGTAAATTTCATACTAAAAAGCATTCTACTTTTATTTTTTCAAATATATTATGTAATATGTTGTAAACAACCTGTGTTCATTGGTGAGCGAATTATTTGATGGACCCATCCCCCACGCAAAATTTTTGACGAGATACCAAACGTTTTACTTTACACAATGGGACCATTCCTACGGCCCACTTTCATCAATGTTACTCTAGTAGTTCTTGTAACGTGTAAATTTTATTTCAAAAGTGTCACTCTCAACAGAGCTATAGTTTAGTTGTAGCAAATGGCCATGACGGTGGTTTAGAGATTTAATATATGGAAAGTTAATCATTCTAGTTTACCGTAGTACCCTCTAGCAATGTTGTATCCAGAGTATGAAATTTCTGTAATTTGTTTTGAAATTTTATTCACAATTCTCATGATTTATGTAACCCATTGATCAAGTTGCATATCAAGTCGTTGCACAAAAAAATTATCTTCCAGACCTTCCCTCCCATTCTCCGATAGGCTAGCGGCTTTCTTGCATTTCAACTCGTGGTGTTCTGAATCATGCCCAAATCAATCGGAGAGGAAGCCAGGAGTTGGGTCAACAAGGGCCGACTCCATTCCGAGCTCCCTTCTACGACCAACTGTAATCTATCGTTGAACTCTCAATACAAGAACTCGCAGGTGACGGTGGGATGCGATATCCATAGGTTAAAATGACTCGTTTATTGTATTGTCAAGTGTTTTCCCATGTATGGATGCAATCAAGTAATTTCCTCGTTCATTGGCCTATATAGATCGTTAGCTAAGTTTATATCATCTGCTACAGATACCATTGTTCACTGGTCTGTATAGATTACTAGGTAATGTTATTCAGGGAGATCTATAGATAGTACTTATTTTATTGCTTTGTAAGGATCATAAAGCTTTTCAGTTTCATAATTCGAGTTCATCAGTCTCAGTAATATATATAACCTTCTTAGTGAAAATAAGCGATTTGGATTTTTTCTAAGCTGAATGTCTCGACGGGTACCTGCCCTTAAATCTACTCAAGTCATGAATGACTTGAGAATCCGTGACGAAGTGACGGAGCTCATTCACTCCGTTACTCAGTGTATTGAGCTATTTCCGTCTCACTGGTTGGTACTTACACGCTACAGCGAGGCTAAATTGTGCTTTCACCTTGAAACCGCCTGTTTTTCCCGAAAGCACGGGAAAAACTTCCCGTGCTTTCGGTAAATGGAAGGAAAAACTTCCTTCCATTTACCATTTACCATTTACGGCGACCCAACACGCTCCGCCGCAAGTCTCCCCTATCGGTATGTCGGTTGCGCGATCTCTTGTATGGACTGGCTTATGAGCTGACTTTCAGTCCTGCAACTTTTCGGCCAAAAAGACAATTGTGAGCCTAGTGGCGCTACTTGTACGAGTAGGCAGTCAGAACTGCTGATGTGGCAATTTTTAGAGCAGTTCTTGGCCTTAGCCTTTAAAATATGATTTGATGGGCATTTTGAACGTGGATGTCACTAACTTGTTTGTTGGTACTTTTAACACTCATTTCAGAAAATGGAGTTACGTAAAATATTTAAATATGTTCTCACGGGTAATTAGGATGATCAAAGACTCCAGATTTTTCATTGAAATCTGTCGTGACTAAAGAAGAAGAAGGAAGTATTTTTTAATTCAAGGATACGCTCCGACGACTTTGTAACTGGGACCCTTGGTTTAACGAACTTACCTGCCAGGGACTCTTTCGTCGTTAGTCCACGAAAAAAAGATCTAACATGTTGTCAATTTCGAGAAATGACATTGAAGTTGCGTCACTTGCATGTTTTGCTCGAGTATTCAGTTTAGTGAAACCTAGGTTATTCATTTATGATAGTCCTCCTCCCCATTTTGTGTCATATCTCGTTCTTCATGTTTCTCGAACCAACGGTTTGCACGTGAGACTCGAACTTAGCCTTTGTTCTCATCAGGGGACCTACGCATGATTGAATTCCTCTGAGACAACATCTTATACCATGAATCTAGTCATTGTATCTGAACCAACCTTTTACACATGCACTATACAAACTTGGAATATCTCGCTGCAGTAAACTCTTAGTTTCTTCTATATTTCACAAGGAAAAATCCGGTGTTTGATCAGGCCGTTTCCATGCTAATAGCTATTATTTCTTACATCAGATAAATGCGGTATAATGTTCAATAACATAAAAATATATAGTTAGAAAAATTAGCTCACATGTATATTAAAAATAACAGTGAGAGAGGACATCAAGTAAAATAACATATTTATGAGAATACCCCCTTCAGTCAATTAAATCAAAATATAACATGAAAAATTGATTTTTTATAAAATTAAACTTTGATCTTTCTTTTACCTATAAGTATTCAGAAATTCTTGTATAATTTTTTTCATGGAACCATATGTCACATTGTATTTCCTTTTTAGAATTCCGTGAATAGTGTTACTAGAAATTTTATATCATTTAATAAATTTACACATTTGAACTTAATATGTCATGCTTTTCAAGAATGTGCATCATAGTGGTTAGAAAATATTTTGCAGTTTCAATGTCTTCAACATGTATCCATATTCAAATTTTTTTATACATGTATTTGATCATTCATTCGAGTATCAAGCTTTATGTCCTGTTTTGTTGAAGTGCAAGTTGTCTGACTCTTTGAAGCAAAAACATTCAAATACAGAATCTATGTTTTTTCATTTTTGCGCTCAAATTCATTCACAATCAACTTAATTCACATCACATTCGTATATGTGCAAATGCTTTACTGTGACAGCATTTCTTATATGACACTTTTGGATTCACATGCACCAATAATGTCCTAAATTAAGTCCACAAATATTTGAGTTCTTGCAGGGCACCCTTATTAAATGTCAATGTTTTCTTTATGTATAAGCCTCTATTTCTAAGCTTCAAAACGATGAGAACATTTATCTAATGTGCCTCATCAACATCGATATACCTAGTAAGAAATAAAATCTATTACCTCTGAAGGAAACTGTCAGGACAGGGGCGATTGATATCAGCTGCTGCGGACAGATGAAAGCAAGAGTAGAATATGAGACGTTGGAAATATCCTAACGAATGAAAGCGATTATACTTTGTAACCTAATTCACAGGTTCAAAAATCAACCGCGTCTTTTGTGTCGAGCCGATTTACCGTAACGCAGTGTGCAGCTTAGCATATAGACGGGGAGTGTTCTAAAGGTGGATTCCTCGTTACAAGATCTGCCACCTCAAGTAGCAGTAGAGCTATCACTTAAGGTCACAGACGCGACCTGTCTTCACAAAGGTATACATACGGGCATCGACTCTCTCGTGACGTCTGTCCGAAGAACAAGAATCGGTTGCATTTCGGGATCTGTCCCATATTTACCTATTGCTGCCGGTGAAAGGAAGTGCTGGCAAGTCCCCACTCATTGTTCTGTCATTACACCCCGCCCGTAGTAGTCACGATAGTCACGGCAGTCAGTAGAGTCAAGACTTCTACGGCCGATCCTCGTCACTAAGGGCTCCTCAAAAATGAGGGAACGCGAGCTCTGCCCGCAGCCCACAGGGAGGGTTAGGCTTGGCCACGGTCCGGTCCGGACCGACGGTTAACCGTCGGGACCGGTTAACCGGTCCGGGAAAAAACTTTCCTCTGGCAGCAGAATTAGACCAGCGAGCCTTGCTAGTCTAATTCTGCTGCCAGATTAAATTTTTTTATCACCTAATTTGATCACCCAATTCGATAAGTGGATAATCCCTAGCATAAATCTCGAGCTCGGATGTGTTTCTCCAGCTTCCCTGCACCCTGGCGCAAAGTCGAAGTCTCTCCAA